ATTAACTCAAATTCACTAAAAATTAATCATGATTACTCACGTATTTTTTGTCGTTTTTGAATTTCCTTTTATATTTTAATGCTCTCATCAACATGGAATCATGAATCCGTTTTCTATGTGCAAAATGCAAATATTTACTGAAATAACAATTTCGATTTTCAATTTTACATGAACATTTTTCACTTGGAGCAGTTATTCCCACATTTTTTCCCACACAATATTACTGTCCATGAACAACAGTGAAAAAAATATTTTGTCACACAACAGCTGCTTTGACAGCTCTTTTTATGGAATCAAAACAGAGCAATATAACATTATAAAGTGCACATCTAAGGTAAACTAGTACTCAGCCTATAGTGGATTTAAGCCATGGTTGCATACTTGGTTTTTTCTCAAGTTTGCTTTGAACACAGCAGTCAGGCTATGTTGATTCTGTTGGTCCTTCTTGCGCGGAAGTCTCTCGATGGTTTTGTGTGGACATCATTTTGGATGACAACACTTAGTTCGATGACAACACTGGAGACGTTTTATTTTCAGTGTGTTCACTAGGTCGCTACCACTGCACCGCAGAACTCTCGACATGCCTCAGCGCACCGTCACTGTCAGACGAACACGGAGAAGCTCCACCCACTTTATTTATATGGACACGGAACACTGTAACCTTCCACACAAAATAGTTCCAAACAAGTAACAATCGCGTCAGTGGCATACATCGTATTTGACAGGCTACCTGCTCTTTATTCACCAGAAAAATAAAAATAAAAATGAAAAAAAATGTGAGAGGGACGAAATTTCAAATGTGGTGTATATACAGCACATTTGTATGTGAAACATACAGCACATTTGACAGTAAAGTTGTACTGTACTTGGTACTTGATAGTCAGCTTTATTTTTTACAGTTATTATACAATACTGAACTATGTATACAATGCAGAGGCGATTGCTCTAAGACTGCAAGGGAAGCTCAGCTTCCCCTAAAATGTCAAAAAGTAAGTGATCAAATATATGTGTGTACGTACAATTGTGTGGACATGTCATTGACTAAATATGCGCTACAACGCGCTCAACTTTTGTTCCGAATCAGCTTCTTATTACTGGTTACAACGCGACTCTCTTCTCATTCATTCCCGCAGCTTCACTGCGCTTTAAATTGTGTGGACGCTGAGCATCTGCAGCGCGGACGCTGGGCGTCTTGAGAGTTCCCTGTAGATTGTCCCAATGCATTGAAACGAGACGATTAATTGGATAAATGCTGGTTTTGTTCCGCCCACCGGACGCTCAGCGTCTCTGGGAGTCTATGGGAGTGGCGTTTATAGGCTGGCCAGGAAGCTCATCTTTTCTGCATGATGACTGGATGATCTGTCTTAGGCTGAATCTCTTTTTGATTGACAACGAAATGAGCCAATCACCGATCTTATGGTGAAGGCATCCTTTTCATTTTTTTGAAAAGGAACGGAGACTAGAATTCACGTATAAATAAACGGACACATTTTATGATGTAGGCCGAAATTGAGCTTCCCCTCCTTGACAGACCAGCATCCGCCACTGATACAATGAAACCAAAGACCAAAAATTTCCAAAGGAAAATTTGGCAAGCTGTACAGAGACGAAGTGCGGAGACTGTTCACGTTGGTCAGTCCCTTAGCCAATCAGGATGCAAAACACAATTCACTGTTTAAAAAAAAGCATTTAATAAACTGCACTAAAACAAATCTGTAAAACAGCGAAGCCGCGGAAGGTGAACCGCGTTATAGCGACGGATTACTGTATATTTTTCTTGTATTTGTGTATTTGCCTTTGCAATCTTTTTATTGTGGTTTTCTGTAAAGAACACAAAAAAAGAACAGCAAATACTGCATGAAATAACAATAGAACAAGTACTTCTGTCTTTGTGTATGTTGCAAATTCACAGGAAGATTGTGTGTCAAGTACTACACAGTTATACTTAGGGAGATAATTTTCATCATGTGATATACTTTGCATTATGTTACATTATTGTCTCTCTAATGCAAGCTAAATAAAACGTGTTACAGCTAAAAATACATGTGTTTGTGGTCTTACTGGATGGATACCCAGTCGTTACAGTAGGATGATGATAGAAAAAATTGCATTCATGTTTGCAGTCGAACTGCGTGACTTTTCCATTCTGGTATGAAGCTACAACAATTACTTTGTAATGAGTACATTCAATGTACTTGTGGAAACCAGGTTTACCTGTCTCACCGGGGCCCCATTTGATGGATGCACAGTAAATGCTCTGTATTTGTTTCACAAAGGGTGTGGCTAACGTTTTAGGCAATATGTAGTTATTCTGGTTCATTCAATTCTTTTCTATAGGGGGAAGTATTTGCAAGTGATTTTTCCTCGAAGGCTACTGTTTTAATATTCTTAGAGTACATAGTGCAAAGGGTAAAAATAATTGAGCAAATGTTCGCACAGTAAAACACATTGCCATAACATTTGACAAAAGAACACAGCTGAAGTACTATGAGGAAGGTTCTGGTAAAAACAAGTCAAAGACAAGGAAAACACATGCCGAGAGTTAGTTTTTAAATGTTTACTGAGCAAAGGTCTTGCGAGATTTGCTGACATTTTGCACAATAAGCTATCGCATTATTCATATTTTGCTTGAAAGTTTCCTCTGGTTTAAAATTGGATGCCCTGTTCAAAATAATATTATATATAAAGCACAGTCTCAAATATTTAGTCTTTAAAGCGGTTTTATTTCCCGTATTTTCCGCACTAAATGGCACACTAGATTATGAGGCGCACCTTCAATGAATGGCCTATTTTGTAATTTTTTTTTCATATATTGGACACACTGGATTATAAAGCGCAATCTACAATGCATCCACGAGAATTTATTTTGGCATTTCCTTGAGCATAGCTCCAACAGAACGATCAGATGTCAGTAAAATGTAGGAGACTGGACTGTCTCAGAAGTGTTTGTTATTTATTCCTTTGTTGTGTACAGACGCTCCCCGACTTACGAACATCCGAGTTACGAACAAGGGTACATATGAACATTTTTACGGGTATGTCGAAAAAGAAAAGAAAAAGTTAGATTTTGTATCGCGCGCCTTTTTCCGAGGACAGTACAGGTGTAGTGCTTCTTTCCGCCGCTAATACCGACGTGAGGTGCTGTGAGAGCTCGCCCAGCATCCACCCCGAATCCGGCTTCCTCTGCCCAGTTGTTAAATATCTCGTGCATCCATTATTCAATATGGTTGGTGAAAAGCGAAAGGCTTCGAGTGAGAGTGGAAGTGTAAAGAAGAGGCAAGCCATTTCATTTCAAATGAAAGTGGCAATAATAAAGAACCTTGATGCGGGTGAGAAAATGGTGAGCGTTGCATGTGCATACAACATGAATCGTTCGACCATCGGTACCATTTATAAACAGAAAGATCGCATAATGGAACACGTGAAAGGTGCAGATGCAATCGACGATCATTAGCAAGTAAACATACTTATATAAGCCTTAAACATAGATTCCATACAAAATATAGCACTGACTCAACTTACGAACGAATTCACCTTACGAATGATCGTTTGGAACGTATCTCGTTCGTAAGCTGGGGAGTGTCTGCTGTATTCACAAATAAATTCTGTATGTAAATTGTTATGTTTGAAAATGGTGTTCTTTATGGACAATTCGTGATGATCACACAAGTCCAATCACAAAACACCACTCGAGTTCTGATTGGGGTGTCGTTCTTCCCAATCACACCGTTCCAGATCTCACTGTCATCGCCCACGTGAGCATTGAAGTCCCCAGCAGAGTGAGGGAGTCCCCAGTGGGAGCGCTCTCCAGCACACCCTCCAAGGACTCCAAAAAGGGTGGGTACGCTGAGCTGTTGTTTGGTGCATCGGCAGAAATAACAGTCGGGAAAGGCAGAGGAGGCAACCTTCTCGTCCACCGTGTGAAGCCAAGAGTTACCACATCAATGCAAATGAGCCTCATTGAGAAACAATGTCTAATTCACTAACAAGGGCGCAATGGAAATACCCACTATGAATACAAATACACAACATGTCTGATCAGACTTATTTATTGATTCGCAATTATCTCCATTGACCATGTACTTACTGAACATCACTAAAAAGTAATGATGTTGGAGACATACACCTCAGAAAAGAAAAACATTTCAAATGAAAAGCCCACTTGCCAGTCAAGAGAAGAGATGACATTTTAAGTTGCTTTGGCGAGCTGCCACTGTTTCATTTCAATTCATTAATTTTATTTTACTTGAAGCTCTCTGGTTGATTCGTTCCACTTTGAAGTGATATCTGCCAGACATTTCAGAGCTTTTTAACATTTTCAAGACCCACAGGATATCCTGGTCGATTATTGGTTATACATCAAACTAATCAATAAAAGAATAGACTTTTCTCAATTGGTTAAAAAAAGTCGTTTCTACCTTTTTCTATTCTTTTGTAATCAGCAGTAGAAAAAAGGGAGGTTGCACAAAATGTAGCCATTTCTTCCAGTGGACTCACAAACAGCTGATGTCATACTGTATCTAAAATGTCATCTATTGGTGGTTGCGCATGAGTAAAAGTGTGGATATGTTCAAAATTTACAGTGGAGTAGCATCAGACGCATCTCCACCCATCCCTGTGGTAGAGTACACTTGTCAAAGGCAGTGAACGTTATTATGTACAACACTGGTTACAGATACACATTTATCAACTTTATCGTTTATTTTTTAGTTTCTGAGTTAATACAAACATCATTTTTCTGGCACATCGCTTCTTTACCTGACAAATACAGCAGTACGCCACTGTTCAAAAAGGAAAAGAGCGAAAAGCAAAGCAAAGCTAATCAGTAAGTGTAGATGCCAGCCAACACAGGCGTGTATTTCTCTGTCTTCATTTTGTCCACACAACAGATGTTGTCAGCTTAAGTAAGAGTTGGGCAAATATGACAGCCAACCCGTTAGCCTCTATTCTTTATTTATCTGAAAAAAAGAAAAAAACATTTGAATATTATAAACAGATTAAATGACCAACTTATTTGATCCTTGTTAAGATACTATATCACATTTTAAATATGCACACATTTTTTTTTTATCAGGCAGATTAGAAAACATCTCAGTTTGATTACTTTTAGGTTTCATCACAAGGCAAAATAAACTAGATGAGAAGTTACGTTAACTGCAAGATCAGTTTGTTATCACATATGGACACACCTGTGGTTTTAAACTTACCACATCCATATAGCGCATTGACTCGTGCAATGTCATTGCTGCTCATCTCTCTTGCAAGACCAAACAGAAGGTTCGGGTTACTTTTGGCAACAATGGTTGGTCGTTGATTTTTGGAGAAAGCAAAGCTGTGTGAAAGGAAACATCAAAATCAACAGCTTTGCATATCGAGTTCTAATGCAAAGCTGTTCGTTAATTCTGCAGAAAACAAATGACAATTTCTTTTTTATGATAAATGATCAATTCTTTGCATTTTAATTTCAAGAAATAAAGACCGCAGGCTCTATTATCTTGCCAGTGCAAGTCCAGCGAGGGGTGTAGAGGAAATAGGACATTTAACAGGATTCACTTGTATCTTACAATGTAGTGTTAACTACGATCACACATCCTGCTATCTGGAAGTGTTGCTTTGCAAGGTTGTGCGTCAGACTTTAACCCCTCCCAAGAAGCAAACTTGTCATAAAAGTGGCCGCACCCCACTGCTTGGGGAGTCGCTCCATCACAGATCTGGAAATGGTGTTTCGCCGTCAATTGTAGCCAAAATAAATCTCATCGTTGTACAAAGACATTCGTCGTCTTGGTTTCCCTGGACTAGACAGAGGCGCGGTATGAATCACCACAGGGGCGGGCTATGTTGGGTTTTGGTGTTTTCACAGACACGCGCAGCTTGGCACCGCAAAAAACGGGTGTTTTTCATCTTTATGGGCATGAACACAGCTGACTCGATCTGCCGTCAATCAAAGCAATTTGTCTCGTTTCCTTTCAAATCAGCACATATCCGTGTGTGTGCCATACATAATAAAGATGATAGTAATAATAATCATGATTCATCATGATCAGAACTCAGTCAAATTCAGCAAATTTGCGTTCCAATACCCGCGCCGATAGTTAGACGTGGTTCCAGCAGGCATGGGGTTCAGTCTACTTTTAGCGACCAAATTGTCCTCTGCGCCAGTCTCATGTCAACGGAAATAGCCTCGGGACACCGGACTGCCCACCATTCCGCAGATCAGTCTGCCAAATACCCAAACAGGGAAAACGAGGCTTGCACCGGCATGAAAATCACCATACGCCAGTTGTAGCACCTGATTGATTTTTTCTTACCGAGTATTGATGAATATGTAGCAGAAAATCTGAAAATTGAAAGTTCATGCTTAAGTCAAGAATTTTCAAGCCAAAATGTCCTCCAAATCTAGACTAACCCATTTCCGAATACACCTGCGATTAGGGAACAGGGATTTTTGGATGAGAGTCTGAGCTCTGTGGTTTTTGGTCAGTTTTGCAAATAAAATTTCCCTCCAAAAAAAGTGATCTATATTCGTGTGCTGTTTCTATTTGTTTTACTCTTCTTCATGATGCATGACGAGAGAGAAACATAAATCACAGTAGATAAAAACTCACTTGTTGTAGTGCATGATGGAGTTAAAGTCATAGGGAGAACCTAAGTTATTCGTCTCCTCCTTGTCAAAGTTGTGTTCCGTGCCTGCACACAGAAGGAGACAAGAATACAATACTGTAGTTAAATGATGATGCTATCTGGCATCAAATCGAAGAAATGCCATCTTGCTTGAGTTTCCGAAACACTGCGTCGTTAAAGTTGATATCATACCGTGTAATGCTATCATACACTGTGCCTCGGCAAGAACAAAATCATGTTGAATTGATCATTTCATTCGTTCCAAAAACAATAAGTTAGTCAGCGTTCCTAAAAACAGTCATCTGACTCGACTAGACCTTTCAAGCGTTATGGCTTTCCAGTTTCAACAAAACAGGCCTACTGAAATGTATTGAATCTGATGTCAACCCATTTTTGTATTCTCGGCCAGTTGATGTGTTGGAGAGAGACACCGGTACTTGGCCCTGGAGCTATTTTCATTACTTCAAATTAGTTAATTATATATAATATTCATAATCATAATTGTAATCATCATTATCAATAGACCATGTGAAGACTGATCATGAGAATCAATTTGTGAAAAAAATATGAAATGAATCATATTTGGACATATGAGGTTTCCTCCAGCCATCAATGATAATGTACCTGTATTTTTAAAATAAGTAATCCCTCATTTATCGCGGGGGTTACGTTCCAAAAAGAACACGTCAGAAGTGAAATCCGTGAAGTACGATTTATAAAAAAAAAAAAAAATTCAGCACATTTGACAATAAAGTTGTACTTGGTACTTGATAGTCAGCTTTATTTTTTACAGTTATTATACAATACTGAATTATATATACAATGCAGAGGCGATTGCTCTAAGACTGCAAGGGAAGCTCAGCTTCCCCTAAAATGTCAAAAAGTAAGTGATCAAATATATGTGTGGATGTACCATTGTGTGGACCCTGTCATTGACTAAATATGCGCTACAAGGTGCTCAACTTTTGTTCCGAATCAGCTTCTTCTAACTGGTTACGACTCGACTCTCTTCTCATTCATTCCCGCAGCTTCACTGTGCTTTAAACTGTGTGGAGGCTGGGCTTCGAGAGAGTTCAGTGTAGGGTGTCCCAATGCATTGAAACAAGACGAGTCATTGGATAAATGTTGGTTTTGTCCCGCCCATTGGACGCTCAGCATCTCTGGGAGTTTATGGACAGTGGGTGTTTATAGGCTGGCCAGGAAGCTCAGCTTTCTGCATGATGATTGGATGATCTGTCTGAGGCCGAATCTCTCTTTGATTGACAGCGAAATGAGCCAATCACCGATCTTATGGTGAAGGCATCCTTTTCATTTTTTAAAAAAGGAACGGAGAGTAGAATTCACGTATAAATAAACGGACATATTTTATGATGTAGGCCGAAATTGAGCTTTCTCTCCTTGACATACAATGAAACCAAAGACCAAAAATTTGCAAAGGAAAATTTGGCAAGCTGTTCAAAGACGAGATGCGGAGACTGTTCACGTTGGTCAGTCCCTTAGCCAATCAGGATGCAGAACACAATTCGCTGTTTAAAAAAAAGCATTTAAAAAAACTGCATGACAAAAATCCGTGAAACAGCAAATCCGCGGAAGGTGAACCGCGTAAAAGCGAGGGATTACTGTATATCTTAATTCATTATCAATACTATTTTAGGGTCGCGGGAGTGTTACGCAACACTTTGGTTGCATGGTAATACGCTGAAAACAATGGAGTAGCTCTGAGTGCACTTTGTGTGTTTGACGAACTTCAGTGTGGTTAAACACGGACTCTACGAGGTCATGTCAGGTAGGCTCACCTCTTTTGACGTTCTCAAAATGAATGATGACGTGATCATCTCTGTCAGACCGAACTTGCTCGTGGTGGAACCCAAGAGCATGAAGAACCTCGTGCTGCACAGTGCCTAAGTTCACACAGCCAAATTTCTGCAAGGATATTTCCTGTCCACCCGGCTGACGTCCAAGGTACGACCAACACCTAAGCATATATCGGACGTGTTTCAAAAGAGCTGCAGTACTGGTGTCACAAAAGATATGTCTTAAACCCAATCTCAAAGTTTTCCCCTGCCGAAATTGCCCTCTCTGTGGGCCATCTGATCAACCAGAGCATCCATCAAGAAATCTGGCAGTTTGCTTCATTTAGTGGGCAAGAAGAGATAAGAATTGTGGGAGGACAACTCATGTTTGGACAACTTCCCTCTACGCATCTGACCTGGCCCTGATTTCTAATTTCTTCCTTTTTCTAAAGCTCAACGGGTTTATCAGCAGACCTGTTTTGAAGGCGTGGACAACATCAAAATGGCTGTGGCGATGGAGCTGTGAAGGATCCAAGAAGAATTCTTCAAAGAGTGCATGAAGCCGTGGCAGGAAAGCCTGGCAACGTGTGTTGGACTCCAGAGGGGATATTTCGAAGGTCAAAATGTACAGTTTGGATTTGGAATCTACCTTTGGTGACACCAATCGGGGAACTTTTCTGGCACACCTGACATAAAATGATGAGGGGGTTTAAAAAACATGAGAGCCATCGCTCTCTGGCCAAATCAGATTTTAAAAGGCCACCAACATAGCATCGACAGTTAATGCGCTGTGTGCATCTCCTTACCCAGATCCTGGGAAGAAGTCCAAAAAATCTCTATGCCAGCGACGCTTCCACATGAAGCGAATGCAGGTTTTTTCGTAGAAACTGATCAAGCCGTCAATGATGGTTAAGCTCTCTTGGGTGCCTGTAGAGTCAAATATCGAACAAGAAAAAAGAAATTACAACAAAACTAGAGAAGCAATTGAGTTCAAGTTCTCAGAGTAAATGGTAAATGGGCTGTCACTCCAATGTCCGCTTTGATTGTGTTTCAGCTGGGGTGAAGGGAGTTTCCCTGAAACATGTGCACCTGTTCCGCATTTCCCCATCAAGCCTTGCCACGTATTGATGGACTGCCAAGATGCCTCGTCTCTTGTCGGATTATTGACCTCGCTCGCTGCTGTGCTTCAAGTGTTGTATTCTAGACCTTTCGATATCTTTCTTCGTTGCTCTCGTTATGTCATAGAACTTTGTAAATGTTTTGATTCTTCCTTTGTATCGATCTTGATCTTTGGTTTCGCGTTATTGGACTTTGGATATTTCGTTTGTGTATTCTCTGTGTTCTCTTGCCCCTTTCCTTTGCAAGCGCTTTTTGTTTGATGCATTGTTCTTTTTTCCAGGCTCGTTGCGAGCAGCAATTTCAGTTTGTACTTTGTTGGTGTGTTTTTGTGAAATTAATATTTTTATCGCACTTTGTCTGAACCTGCATTTCTGGAATCCAAAACATGATTCGGTTCAGTTCAGAACCTGACATCCACTGGCCCTGGGTGGGGGAACACCGGTCTGAAGGCCACTGACCACCAACAAAGAAGACCGGTGCACAGTGGCACACAAACACTTTGGTCGAAAGTGTGGCTTCACTTTAATGAAATGACTGCTTGGCTCAGTGGGACACCTCCAGAAGATTATATTGTCCAAAGGAGGTTGTGATATTAAAATAGGGAAACACCTCCAGAGAAGGACACATATGGTGTAGAAAAGTGGTTCTTGACCTTGTGAGAGGTACCAAACCCAACCAGTTCATATGCACATGCACTGAATCATTCATTAGCGAAAATTAAAAATGCGTTCAAGACATTAAAAAAAAAACAAAAAAAAAACGCATTTGTTAAAAACAGTAAAAAAACAAAAATAACATTTCAAAAAAAAAGTATATGTTTTCTTTAATTGTGCACAAAATGAATCAGCCAGTGATGGCCAAGCAAGTGTTTCATAACTAACTGACATGTTGAGTCGGGTGTGCCTTAACCTCCATGGCAGAGGCTCCGTCGAACCCCTGAGACCGATTCCCCTAGGGTTCGATCGAACCCAAGTTAAAAACTACTGGTGTAGAAGTCAGGGAATGCCGTCAAAGACGACGAGTTGTACGCTGGGGGCACCTCAGCATCGCACTAAAATAAGGGGAGTAAAACAATAAAATATATATTATGCCAAAAACTGGAACTAAAACTGGGGTCAGCCCAAATGCAAATAACGAGCTAAAATGAGTACAGATCTATCCACAATGCCCATGCACAGTGCCTGAAGAGGCAGAACTAATTTTGAGTTTATACGGTACCTGCTGCGAATCTGGACTGGGTTCCCAAGTTGCTCTGTTTCTTTGATGTCTAAAAACCAGGTAAGCCCTCAACAGTGGGTGCTGAGTAACACATTTTCAGCACTTGCAGTATCAGTCACTCATTTGTGCAAATGTATGATCATGTGGTTTTCAAAAATAAAGCTCGCTTGTGAAAGTGTATCCTTCCCTAGGTGAATAGAAAAGTCACATTTAAATTGAAATTCAGAGGTTTGATTTTAAAATTGATGGATGATAGTCCACTACTTGTCTCATTTCTTCACTCCATGTTGACGTGATAATCAGATCATCAGCAACTTACTTTATGCTTTCGCAGTTAACTATGCAACAGTTTAAAAAAATGGATGAGCTGGAAAAAACAGTTTTTAAAAAAGTGATGTTTTAAGGTTCTTACAGGTCATAGTGAAAAGTTTACAGTTGTCTGTATCAGTGGAAACTGAGGTTATGCGTTCCATACAGTAATTTTATTTGACCAAATGTTTATGTGTACCGAGTAATACTTCAAAACTAAGGCGTAAGGTTTGACTGAAGACAATATTCGCCTTACTACTATTGATTTGTACGATTCTTCTAATCAGAATCAGAATCTTCTTTATTGGCCAAGTATGTCGGACACACAAGGAATTTGTTTCTGGTACTACAGGCTACACTAGTATCGGCATAAACAAGGATATAGCAAATAAGTATGGAAGGACATTCTGTAATGTAAGGGTACTGTTGTGCGGGGGTACCACCCAATGACACCTGTGAGACAATGTGCAAAGTATCAAGCAGAGCTAAAGTGATCAGTGGTACAATACAATACTATAACAGTTGTGCAGTTGTCGCAGAAAATCATTGCACCATTTTGAAGTGACCACGAGCAGTATTTGTAGTACAACAAGTGTGCAATTGTGCAGATGTCCTTGAGCGCTTTAA